GTGTGTGTGTGTGTGTGTGTGTGTGTGTGTGTGTGTGTGTGTGTGTGCGCGCGCGCGCACGTGCGTTTCTGTTTGGGGCAGGGTGTGGTGACGGTGGTGGCTGCAGTGGGCATTAGGGAAAGAGGCATACTGTAGGATTCAGTCCTGTGAAGCAAGAAGCTCTTGATCTTTCTTCAGTTAATAAAGCATCAATTTCATCCAAGGTGTTTGGAAGATCTTGGAAAGCCTAAAGAAGAAAAAAATTGTCCATTATTATAGATAGTACAGTGAAAATAGTTCAAATAGTTAAAAGAAAAATATTCTGCTGAGTTAGTAAGTATCTACTATGTGTTGAACAGCATGCTAGCACACAATAAGGAATCAAAGGAATTATAAACACGGCTTTTTGCTTTCAAAAAGCTTCTACTTTAAAAGAAAACAAAATGTATATACTTAATAACACGGGCTAACACCTTAAGGCAATGTATTGATGCTGAGTATTAAAATAAGCAGTACATATCATACAGGTTATGGAATTCAGAGAAAGGAAGTATCAGTTCATGCTACAGGAGCTACAAGAGAGTAAGAGAATTCAGGCCCAGATTCCATCTCTGGGCCTTAAAGCAAATGGCTAGGGAAAAGTAAGGCAGAGGGGAGACAGGAGCTTGGAAAAAAGAATGAGCACTGCATACCATGGGGGGTGAGGAGTTGTGTCCATTTGGAATGGTGGGTACTTGCTGAATTGGTAGAATGGGTCCAGAATATGTGGGGCATTGAAAGAGAGCAAGAAGTTAGAACTTTATACTGTACTTGTGAAGAACTACAAAAGCATCCTAAGAATCCAATTACTTTGACAGTAGAATTTCACCACAGTACTATCTTCTGAGACCATGCCACAGAGACAAATTAGAGGAGATACTTTATTGTGGGGCGAGGCAAAGCAGTACATTGCTTTTTCACCACAACCTGCGAAAGTTTATGTACTACAATGTACAAAATGAATATTGAAACCTTGAAAAAGATCCTAACACACTGCATTAATCTAATATCTTAACCTGTCTTTTTTTCCCTAACCTTTTGGAAAGCAGTTCAACTCCTATAGGCCTTCAGATATTTGTTAAGTATATTTTTCTGAATCTGACCTGTCCATTGAGATTTGAACTCACGTGCCGAACACTTGGTATCTTCATTTGACTCTTTAATAGACAAATTTAAGATGGTGAAACACAAATCTTCAACTTCCTCACCTTCCCCACCAATTTGAGCAAACTGATTTGTCCTTCAATCTTTTCCATCTCAGTAAATGAACAAATTAAGGGGTTCTCTCTCTTACCCTTCAACTCAAATCCATTACCAAGTCCTGCTGGTTCTGTCATTAAAAGATACCTCAAGTCTGTAAACTGCTCTGTGTCTAATGCTTCCACCCTAATCCATGCCACAAAAATCTCTTGGCTGGTCCAAAGCAATAATCTTCTAAATGGTCTTTGTGCTTCCATTCTGGTATCCCTACTTTATTTTCCATACAGCAGTTGGAGTGCTCTTTTACAAACTGAAGTTGTCCTACCTCTATAACTCTTCTGTTTAAAATTCTCCAGTGGGTTCCATCTCAAAATAGAGCCAAAATTCCTTCTATGGTGTATAAGGCCCTACAGGATCTGGCTTCTGCCCCCCTTTCTGCTTGGATTATAAATTGTAGCCCCACTGAGATTCTTTCTATGCTGAAACAGGCCAAGTATACTTCTGCCTCAGGAGCTTTGTATGAGCTGTTTCCTCTGCCTGGAATGCTTTTCCCTCAAACCTTCACTTGACTGATTTCTTCTCTTCATTCAAGACTCGTCTAAAATAGTATCTTCTCAAAGGAGCCTTCCCTGACACTCTAGCCCCTTACCTTGTTTTATTCTTCTTCTTAGTACCTCTTACTATCCCCGACATAATCTGTTTGCTTTTTGATTTGTCTTCCCCACCCTCCAGACTAGAATATAAATTTCAAGAGAGAAGAAAGTATGTGTGTTTTGTTCAGTGCATGTGATATATAGAAGGTAATCAATACATTTTTAATGAACACATGAACTATGTTCTAATCTTGTTTCTTTCAAAAACAGTACCATGTATCAAGGACAGAATCATGCTACTTTCTGGAAGAAAAAGTTAGTACAGATATTGTACTAGTATTTACTTATTTTATAAACACAATGTATTCTGGAGAAGGTTTATTTTTAGAAACAATAGCCCCTCAATTTTCTTACAAATATCTACTAAATTCCTATTATGTATCCAAACAGATCCATTCTCCCTAGTTTCTGGGTCTGACAGCATAAAGCACAATCTTTGAGGATATGAAAATTATAATCCAAATAAGTTTTATTTCCAGTTCTATTTATATCTTTAGCAGACATTTCATTATCTACTGAAATAGATAACATTTGAAATTTAAAAAGCCACACAAATACCAGATATTTAAAATTTTATTTCTAATTTTACTTTGACATTATTCTGAGAGAGTAAGTATGTAGGCAAGGTATTATTCCTACCTGTCAGATAAAGCTTTGGGTCACAGGGCTACCTAATTAGTGGTAGAACTTGGAAGAAAGGGCAGCATCTTCTCATTTTACTAACTGAATGATATGTCAGAATATAAAATACACATAATGTAAAGAAAGAAAGGCTCTTTTTTCCCTTTCCTTAGCAACAGATGTCAGCCATAAAGATTCAGCTCCCACTCAACCGTAAATAAACACCCTCATTTCCAGGAAAACATTTTCATTTTGCCTTCGTTTGTCTAAATATCACTTCTCTTTACTGTTCCTTATATATCAATTACTGGTACTATGTTTCCATGAAAAGCTATAACCCGTCTCCTGACCCTACCTATTAAAAGGGTGCTTGGGGAAAAAAGCTTTTTACTGGAAGAATGAATGTTATGGCATTAATAATTTTGCAAAATAATACCCATGTTTTAACAACTTTAGTATGAAGCACTAAGACTGACTGGTGTCCAAGTCTGAGTATAGTGAAGAAAATTCGTTGAGCAAAATTACTTTACATACATACTCAGTTTAAAAATGGTGGCGGGGGGGTGGGGAGATCTCATATTTTATGGCACATCGTGTTTTTCATGGCCCAGTACAATGCCTAACACACTTTAAGCTTACAAATAGCTGTCTGAAATATGTTAGCTTGTAGCGTTATATACTTTTTATACTTACTGTCTGATATTCTTGAGGAATGGTCTGCTCTGCACCCAGGTTACATACTTGCCTGGCTCTCTTCATAAGTTCCCTGCATTTCTGCAATAATCTCTGTCTACTTTCATCCAACTCGATGAAACGTTGCTAATACAAGAAAAAGAAATATTTTGAAAATTTGTATGTTACTGTTAAGTCAGAGGGCTATTTTATTAAACCACCACATTATATCAAATATATTATTGAATTTTGATTGTGATAAGCAAATCATCTGAAAACATATCTCAAACCATGACTGATTTTATTGTAAAGGTTAAATTTGAACTTAAACTTCACAATATATCGGGACATTAATAATATGGCATTTCTTGAATCTGTAAGAGCTCTGAAATTTAAATTTAACTGCCTTTTTCTGAAAGTTTAATTTAGCTATGTATAATTACACTCTAATAAAATTTGATATATACAGTATGTAGGCTTCATATCCAAATACTCAGCATTCAAATGTAAGCAGAACCTTTAAATAATGTTTGATAGTTTTCCAAGCACCTTTCAGGTAGCTATCATTTATTCATGGACCCATTCGTTCCTTCACCAAATAATTACTGAGAACCTATCAAATGTCAGTATTTTATTATGCACTGAGCATACAGAAAGGTGAATAAGAAGGAAGATACACAAAGTCATTAATTACCATACAAGAAACAGCTACTATTTACTGAAAGCTTATGTGCTAGGTGCTTCACAGCACTGTATAGTATTATTATCCCCATTTTGCACATTAAAAAAGAAAGAGGAATTACACAAAGAGAGTATGTGTGTGGTGTGGGCAAGGGATGGAGGAAGGTCAGAGTGGCCACAGAAGCTATGTCAAGTGAATGATCTTAAAGGACAAATAAGAAATTACTAAGAGGGAGCAGCAGAAGGTATTCCCAGGATAGGTGATTTAAAACGTACAGGCCATGGAAGCCTCCAGGGCCTGCTTATTTAGGGAACAAGAAATTCAACGTGGCTGGAGAAGAAGTAAGCGTGTAAAAGATGAGAGTGGCAAGGTGGGCAAGAGCCAGGTGGCAAAAGTTTCATGTGTAACAAGAAGGCATTGTGGAGGACATGGAAGCAACCTAAGTGTCCATCGTCGGATGAATGGATAAAGATGTGGCACATATATACAATGGAGTATTACTCAGCCATAAAAAGAAACAAAATTGAGTTATTTGTAGTGAGGTGGATGGACCTAGAGTCTGTCATACAGAGTGAAGTAATAAGTCAGAAAGAGAAAAACAAATACCGTATGCTAACACATATATATAGAATCTAAAAAAAAAAAAATGGTCATGAAGAACCTAGGGGCAGGACAGGAATAAAGACACAGATGTAGAGAATGGACTTGAGGACACAGGGAGGGGGAAGGGCAAGCTGGGATGACGTGAGAGAGTGGCATGGACATATATACACTACCAAGTGTAAAATAGATAGCTAGTGGGAAGCAGCCGCATAGCACAGGGAGATCAGCTTGGTGCTTTGTGCCCACCTAGAGGGGTGGGATAGGGAAGGTGGGAGGGAGGGAGACGCAAGAGGGAAGAGATATGGGGATATATGTATATGTATAGCTGATTCACTTAGTTATAAAGCGGAAACTAACACAACATTGTAAAGCAATTATACTCCAATGAAGATGTTAAAAAAAGAGAAAAAAACAAAGGGCATCATGGGTATCACCCCCATCCTATACGGTAATTAATATAATCCTCATTACCATCTTAAAGAAATGTATTATCTCCTTTTTTTATATGTGGTTCAGAGATAATTAAGTTGGAAATAGCAAATGAAAAAGAAAACAGGTCTTAGCTTGCTCTTTCCATCAAACTTTGGTCTGCACAAAAAGTACCAGAGCAGGGGTGAGATAGAGGGAAGATTTGTTAAACAGTATTGATGTCCCAGCCACAAGCCAGATCTAACAATTAAGACCTCTGGGGCCAAGGCTTGGACATTTGCATTATTAATAATGTCCTGAGGTAATTTTTATGCACACAAGTTTGACAGCAAAGAAAGTAAACTAAGACAAAAGTTAGTAAAAGTATATATATACTGGACTGATCTGAAAATGCAAGCAAGCCTTTATACTGATCAGTTAGTATCAATATAAAGTTTCCTTGAATGGATTCCTTGGCTCCTACACAGCAAGAGAAATAAAAGAAAATTAAAGACTCCCAGTCACCCTTACTCTGCTCTCTAGAGCCTATTATACTCAGGCAAATGCAAAACATGGGACAGCTAGACAGAACTAAACACTCCTCAAGTCTTCTCTTCCTACTTCCTATTCCTCTGGATCTTGCTAAAGTGAAGTATTAGAACATTATGGGAAAGAAATATTCCCAAGCTGAATATCTGGGGCTCTGGGCTTAGGACAAAAGCTCATTCAATAGTTTCCTTCTGTTTGGTGGCATGTCTGATAAAATCTTTATCAGAGGGCTTCCCTGGTGGTGCAGTGGTTAAGAATCCACCTGCCAATGCAGGGGACACGGGTTCGAACCCTGGTCCGGGAAGATCCCACATGCCGCAGAGCAACTAAGCCCATGCGCCACATCTACTAAGCCTGCGCTCTAAAGCCCGCGAGCCACAACTACTGAAGCCCTTGTGCCTAGAGCCCATGCTTCGCAACAAGAGGAGCCACCGCAGTGAGAAGCCCATGGACCACAACGAAGAGTAGACCCTGCTTGCCGCAATAAGAGAAAAGCCTGCGCGCAGCAATGAAGACCCAATGCAGCCAAAAAAAAAAAAAGAGAGACAATGTTGTTTCTATACATACATGTTTGTGACACTATTCACATAGCACCTGTTCTTCCCCCACCCCATAATTCTTACTGAGTTTTTCTGCGGGGGTGGGGTGCAGAAAGAGTCCAATTATATAAGATAACACTGTAAATTCAGGCTAGTGAAAAGGGCTTATTTACATTTCTTCATAGAATCTAGCCTTTAACAGTTAAAAGGCCACAGAAACAGTTCATCTGTGTAAAACATAAGGGGAGAAAATGGCAAACTTACAAAATATCCCCCACCAACATCTTAGAAAAGATTACTCTGTAGGTACATACCCTGAAAGAAATGAGTAAGTATTATCTTTTCTCTGAAAGTCTTTTTTTTTTTTTTCTCTGAAAGTCTTTTGATAAAGTTCAATTGTTATGAAAGTTGTACAGAAATACCTTGACACTAAACAAGAAAAACCTTCTCTAAGAGGGCCCTCTAGTGGAAAAAATCAGATTGTTCACAGAATTTCTTACTGAATATATGTTGCACATAAACTTAACACAGTAAATATTCTACTTAATTTATTAAAATAAGAGTGAAACAAAATGAAAGCCATTTTGGTGTGAAAGGAATTAAACTACGTTCTAGGTAGCACAAACTTATGCTTAAAAACTGGTTGTAGATCAAAAACATTTCTTCCTCAATTTTCCTTTCATATAAAGAAAAGAATCAAACTTCATTCCAATTTAATTGATTGCAAATTCAAATGTTAACCATAAGTTTTCGTTCATATTGGACTGCATATATATTTTAGAAATATGAAAAGTATTTAATCTTTTCTTTAAGCAGCTTAAAATTTTAACGTCGAATTTGAAGTTTAGAAATCAGTGGTCTTCACTGACGTTTTAATATACAAGCTTACAAATTCTATTTCAATCAATCTAATAGTAAACAGTGACAATAATACTATTTACTTGGGAAAGGATTTTTTCCCGCCAAATACATATATCTCATTTAAATTGGAAAAAAAAGTCCTCTGAAGTTGTTTTTTGTGGGAGAGCAGTAAGCAGGCAGGCAGAGGAAAGAACATTAGATGAAAGCACAGAATTTCTAAATTTAGTATTAGGATAAATAAATTTAACAACTTCCAATTCTTGTAATATTAAACCTGATGTAAATCTATACTTCTTAAGGAAATATGGGTTTCATGCTAGGTACACACTAAGCATCATGATATATATTATTGAATTTACTATCACAAATAGCCCTGCAAGTTAGGTACCATAATACCTATGGCTGAAGACAGTAGGCTTGGAGTGGTTAGGAACGCTGCCCAAAGTAAAAAACCAAGTAACCTGTACATCCATCTGTCCCCTCCATATATGGATTCAGTCAGCTTATTAACTTGTCATAAAAATATTCCAGAAGGTAATGACATACCTCTGGAGATGTTTTATGGGTCTGGAACCCTTTTTCCCCTATTTGCCTTCCAATAATTTGAGGAAGTTTGAAACTCAGTGGTGGTTAGTTATCCCTATCCCTAAGTTCCTTCACGAATACAATCCCTACTGAATTTTTGTGTCAGTCTTCTTTTGTGAACTTGTTTTCATGATCAGGGTAAAAGACAAACCCTGAAGTGGCAGTAATGGTTCCTTAGTACAACCTGCAGTGTGTCCAAAGGAGGAGGGGAGGGAGGGAAGGAAGGAAGGAAATGATTTCTTTTTGTTTCAAATGCAGTAGGACAGCAGAAGAATAGGTAAGAGCAAATATGGGTAAGTGACAGCAAACATGAGAAGGAAAAAGAGCAAATGAAAGAGAAAATGAACTACCAAACACTTATTCTCTGTATCTTTTACTCATCATTCTTGACTGTTTAAAATGTGTGGTTGGTGACTATGATCAGTCAGTAACAAAACTTATCAAAACATAGTGTAAGAAATAAAAGAACCTTACAAAAGGGTTGGTAAGACAATTATGAATAAAAAGCATTTAATAACTTTCAGATCAACATATAAAAAAGGGAAACCATGCTGCAAAATATGTTGAGGAAATACAAAATAAAGCCAGGGGTAGTATCAAGTAAGATTAGTATGGAAAAACCTGACAAGATGTGTGTGTGAGTATGGTAAGAGGCTGAAAACTGAGTGGGTATTATTTCCAGGTAACAAAATCTAGAGTGACACGCAGCTAATCAGATTATTTCTCTAGACAGTATAATGTGGCCATCTTTGTAAAAAATTAGTGACTCAAAGATTGAAAACAAAACCTCCTCACAAGTACTTTCCTACTCTCCAGAGTAATTAGCTCAACTCAAAATATTACTATTTCTGCTACTACTAACAAAATGGATCAGTCACAGTTTGCACCTAATCTTAGTACATCTATGTGAACTAAGGCTG